TTTCTTCCTCAAACTTGTGAATATATGTTTGCTGCCTTTCATCACCTTAAAGAGGAAAATCATGGTAATATGGGAATCTCTTTCAATGAATGGATACAATTTTGGTGCAAGAAAGATCTCAAATATGAGCTAGCTCCCCCAAGAAAAGAGAACAAATCTCGGCGTCTGTCGTCTACTCATAATCCTACAGGCGAAATACCTACTGAGATAAATACATGGTCAATTACTCAAGAGATGGTATTTTCTATAATTGGAGGGAAACATCAGAAATATGAGACTTATCTGACAGCATTTTTGTCATGTTGGTTATGTGCCTTTGTACTTCCGTCTGAGGAAGGAAATTTCATTCGACCTGAGACTTTCAAGATAGCGAGTTTAATGGCGAGCGGTAAAAGGGTTAGCCTTGCGATTCATATTTTAACAAGCATATATCATGGCTTAAATAAAATTTCAAATTCTTCACAGTTGGACCATGTAAGAGTTTGTTTTCCCATTCACTATGTCTATGGTTGGCTTGCTTATTATCTCAAAATGCACTATCCGCTTACTAGTGGACCTTCTTTACCACGAATGGTGGTATATTCTGGAGAAGGTGCTGCAAAGTATTTTGACAAAGATGAGGCAAGAAAGCGTGTTCATCGAGGGGGAGAACATTGTATGGAATGCAACCATGCTTAGTAGACCTCACCCAACTTATTATATTGATGATGAAAAATCATCAGAGTTGGATCAAGCATATTTTATGAGCATTTGTTTTAATTATCTTCCATTGAGGAGGGGAGGTTCCTTTGTCATTGATCCATACAGTCCGCACCGATTTAGTCGCCAATTTGGTTTCCATGAAGATAATCTTGGCTATTTAGAAAATGATATTCGTGTTGAGTCACTTGATGAAGGCCTTAGATACTGGCGCATTTGTGTATCACGTGTGACTATGTCTAAAGCGACATTTCCTCCTGCGGTAACTTCCGCAAAGAAGCTTTACACCACCCAATATTCATCTTGGTGGGAGAGGTCCTATGGAACGTTTCTTGAGGATAATTTGGATGTTATGGTGGAAAAAGCTGGGTCAGAATTTGTTACCCTTCTAGAAGAAAAAAGTCAAGATATCGAGAAAACACTTTCAAAAGTCAAGACACCACTTGCTCCCCAACATCAAAGTAAGAAGCTTAATTTTTCTAAGGCATCTAAGAAAGAACTAGTTCATACTCCTACCAATAAAGAGAAATCCCCCCAATTTCTCTTCTCTAGTAAACAGTCCCTTCAAGAAACAAGCAAAACTAGCAAGGATCGATGTTGGAAGAGGCAAAGAATTGAACTATCTGGGGCTGAAATTGTAGAAGTCCGAAGTGTCGATAATCCTTCTAGATCATTGACAATTCAGAATAACAAGGTATGTATATATATATATATATATATTTTTTATTTATTTATTTATTTATTATTTTTTTAAAATAAATAAATAAAATGAAATGACCTTGCTAAAGTGCCCCTTTCGTTTGTAGGTTGATGCTGATGGACATTTATAAGGATCACCGCGTGAGAGGCCACAAGTTAGCGAAGAGTCTATCGCAATATTGAGACATAAGGCAAAACCAATTTCAAATATCGAGAAAGATCAAGAGTCATCGTCTACTTCTCGTGGCCAAACTTTAAAAGGGTCGGCTCCTAACTCAAATGAGCTTTCCCGAGTTCTTCCCAAGATAAATGGTGCTATGTCTGTCTTCGAAGGAAGAGGTGTGGTGTTTAATCACAAAAGAAAGTACATCTTGGGTCTTTGGGAAGAAATCTGTAGAAAACTTTCCAGAACTTCTCTAAACAATATTTCATCTTACAAAGATGATATTTATGAGATTTTCAAGGAGATGAGTGACATGAATTTATTAGATCTTTAACCATTAAAAAGCTTGGTAGATTCTCTTTTTGATCATGCTACTTCTTATGATCAAGAACACTCTAATTTTGTTGACAAGGCGCCTGAAGATAGGAAGATGGAACTGCTTTCCAATGCCAAAGAGCGTCTCGAATTATTCAAAGTAGAGGAATGTCATAAGGCAAAACATGTCTCTTCTAACAAGAAATCGCTAAAGAAGGTTAAGCGGAAGGTAGCAACTTTACAAGGAGAGCGAAAGGGTCTTGAAGCTGTTTTAGACGCTACTAAGAAGAACGTCGAGGAGATTCAAGCCAAGATTTTAGCTACGGAAGATGAGATATCCTCGTATAAGAATATGAGTTTATTAACGCTTGAAGATTCAATTCGCATGGAACAGAAAAGAGAGTGCTTGGAGGCTAGTCGACAAGATTTGACAAACTACAAGTTACGCTTAGATTAGACTTTTTTTTAATTATTTTTTAACTTTCGATTGTTCGTTATTTCTTGATTGCAATCTTTTATTAATTCAAAGTCATGTCGCATTTTCCATGTCAATATGAATGAATATAGCGCAAGTTCCACATTTTTATTTAGTTAGCACATTTAAACTTGACTTATGAATTTTGTGGAATCCGATGCTTCGACTCGTAACAAGTTTTAGAACCTTTAACTTGTAAATTCAAAAAAAAATATAAAGGTTTGATCCTTCCATAATCCCATCAATACTTCGTACAAGTCTACGATTTGATGAGACAAAAGATAATATACATATCGCTTTGACTTTTCTTTGAATTTAAGTGGGAACTTTTTTTTATTTTTTTGACACTCATGCAACTGAACATAGAATATGGTTCTAAGCGCCTACATAACTCAATAAAGAGGATCAAGTCACAACGTAGTTCTGGGTATTTGAGTGATTTTTTTTTGTTGTGCCGTACACAGTTTATACTCTTGTGGGCCAGGAGTGACATGCAATTTAGGCTCCTACGTTAAGGAGCATTATCTTTCTTCAAGGATAGTATCTCTTTAGAAATTTTGCATTAATAGGGCCGATCCTTAAGCCATCATCATCAACAAGCTTGTAAGCACCATTTGAATATGCTTCTTGTACAACATATGGTCCATCCCATTTTGAGGTAAATTTGCCCCCAGACTTGTGCGAAGTAATGATGGGTCTTCTTACCACGAGAACTTGATCTCCAACTTGAAAGCACCTCAAGCGAACCTTCTTATTAAAAGCACGAGATAGACGAGCTTGATAACATTCAACGTTTTGTTGGGCTTGTAACCTCTTTTCATCAAGTGCTTCTAACTCAGCAAGACACAATCGAGCATTTTCTTCCTCAGTGAGCCTTTCTTGAATAGCAAGTCTTAAGGAGGGTATTTGACGCTCGAGTGGCAGGACTGCTTCAACTCCAAAAGCAAGTGAATATGGTGTTGCTTGAGTTGGTGTGCGATGTGTTGTCCTATATGCCAACAAAGCTTCTTCCATTCTTTCATGCCAATACCGTTTGGATTTGGAGACAACTTTCTTGAGAAAGTTGCATAGAGTCTTATTGAATGCTTCAACAAGACCATTAGCGGCAGCATGGTACATAGAAGATTTACGCTGCTTAAAGTCAAAAAGATCACAAATCTTGTTCATTAACTTGTTATCAAATGATTTGCCATTATCGGTTATTATATAGCGAGGGATGCCAAAGCGATAGATAATATTTACTCGGATAAAATTTTCAACATTCTCTTTTTTTACCTCTTTAAGAGCGACAGCTTCAGCCCATTTTGAAAAGTAATCAGTTGCAGCCAAGATGTACAAGTGTCCACCAGAAGACTTTGGTAATGGTCCTACAATATCTAGTCCCCAAGCGTCAAATGGCCAAGATGCGATGGTTGGGTGCAATACTTCGGGTGGCTGATGAATGAAATTCGCATGAAATTGACTAGCATCACATTTCCTGGCATAATATAAGCAATCTTTCACCATGGTTGGCCAGTAATACCCCATCCTCTTTATGTGAAAATGAAGTTTTGGTCCAGATTGATGTGATCCACATACTCCTGAGTGTGCTTCTTGCAGAGCTTGAATTGTTTCTTCCTCTCGCAAATATCGTAATAACATACCCTCAAATGATCTTCTATATAATGTATCCTTGTAGTAAAGGAAACGAGGTGCACGATGACGTATGTCAGTTCTTCTTCTAGGATTTTGTGGAAGTATCCCGTAACATAGGTAGTCAATGATGGGTTGTCTCCAATCTTCCTTCGCAGCTTCAACCATGGCGACGATATGATCAAGCTTATTTTCAATATATTCTTCCTCATTTGACGGTACTACTATCCATTTCTGACAGACAGTTACTTGCGTCTGATCAGGAAGGGTTAGCGTTGAAGCTAGAGTAGCCAATGCATCAGCTTTCTTATTCTCTGTTCGACGCACATGTTGAAGAGTTACATCCCCAAGCCATCTTATCAACTTTTGAGCATAATCATGATAAGGTCGCAATTCAGGCTTTTTTACCTCATAACTTCCTAAGAGTTGATTAATCACCAACTGAGAGTCACCAAAGACCTGTGAATGTAATTGTTTCATGTCAATGGCCATTTCAAGTCCAAGTATCAGTGCTTGATATTCAACGACATTATTTGAGCAACATTTTTTTACAGTAAAAGAGAATGGTAGAATCTCTTCTTGTGAAGTTATGAACACCACGCCAGCACCAGCTCCATCGCGATGTGCAGCCCCGTCAAAGTACATTTTCCAAGGAGGTTGAACTTCAATTAACATCGCATCTTCATCAGGAAACTCATCAGTTAAATCCCAATCATTTGGTATAGGATGGTCTGCTAAGAAATCCGCTAGTGCTTGTCCCTTCACGGATTTTTGAGGGATGTACACAATCTCAAATTATTGGAATTGGAGGTACCATCTTGCTAGTCGGTCACTAAGGAAAGGTTTTGACATAACAAACTTGATGGGATTTGCTCTAGAAATAAGGCGGACAACATGAGCTTGAAAATAATGCTTCATCTTTTGAATTGAGAAGACTAGTGCAAAGCATAGCTTTTCAATTGGCGAATAATTTAGCTCATTTGGCGTCATCGTTCTACTTAAGTAATAAAGAGCATTTTATTTTCCTTCACTATTCTCTTGAGCTAACAGGGCTCCTACAGACCTTTCTTTTGCTGCAATGTAGAGTATCAATGGTTTTCCAGGTATAGGGGCTGCCAAAACCGGAGGTTTCGCTAGATACGATTTGATACATTTAAATGCTTCGCTACATGTTTTGTCCCAATTAAAAGGAACACCTTTCTTCATGAGATGATTGAATGGTTGACATCTCCATGCTAGATTTGAGATGAACCTTCTCAAGTAGGCTAACTTTCCTTGGAGACTTTTTAACTCATGAATATTTCGAGGTTCAGGCATCTTTGCTATTGCATCGACTTTGGCTTGATCAATTACAATTCCTCGATGTCTCACAATAAAGCCAAGGAACTTGCCGGAAGTAACTCCGAAGGCACATTTCAATGGATTAATCCTTAGTTGATATTGTCGGAGTAACTTAAACACCATCCTTAAGTCTTTCAAATGATCACCCCTCTTTCTCGACTTTACTACCAAATAATCAACATAACATTCAACATTTTTATGGAGCAAGTCATCAAAGATATTTTGCATAGCCCTTTGATATGTGGCACCAACGTTCTTTAAACCAAATGGCATCACTTTGTAGCAATAAATACCTTTTGGTGTGTGAAATGCAGTGAGCTCTTCATCTTTTGGTGACATGCGGATTTTATTATATCCGGAAGAACCATCCATGAATGACATTGCCTCATAACCAGTGGTGGCATCAATCATCAACTCTAGAATGGGAAGAGGAAACTCATCTTTAGGGCATGCATTATTGAGATCTCTAAAGTCAACGCAGACTCGAATTTGACCATTCTTCTTCCTCACAAGAACAATACTTGAAATCCATGTAGGATATTTGACCTCGCGAATAAATCGTGCCTTAATGAGTTTGTTAACTTCATTTTCTATCAATGGAATCAAGTCTGGTCTAAAACGTCTTTGAGCTTGTTTAATTGGACGAGAACCATTTTTGACTGCCAATTGATGGACCGCTACTCTAGGACTCAATCGAGCCATTTCTTTGTAACTCCAAGCGAATACATCTCTATATTCTATGAGTATATTCATGTAAGCGACTTCTTCATCAATTTCTAGAAACGCACTCATGTAAGTTGGCTTCGGATCTTCATCTTCATCAGTGCCAAGGTTAACTTCCTTCAAAGGATCTATTGTGATCTTTACTCCTTCTTCAAGTTCTGGAGGAGCATCTTTAGCATCTTCCTCTTCCATAGGATCATTGTCATTGACCGATATATGACAACACGAGAAAATATCTTCTACCTCTTCTTCAATCTTCTTTTGAGGCAAAGAATCGTACTCATTTTGAATTGTCACATGATTTGAGGAACCTACACTTTCTTCATCTTCCTCGCGCTCTTTGGTGTAAACCACAGTATGAACCTTTGCCTTGAGTTCCTCTTTACAGGAAACCCCAAGTTCCACTTGTTGCCTCATCCTAGAAGGAATCAAACTTTTGAAATCCTTTCGAACCAAATGTGAAGTAGGCCTTGTAACTCTTAAATAACTTCTCATGTTATTGTTATTTTTCTTCAGAGAACCTAACCTCTCAAACACAGAAATTCTCGTTGTCGCTTCACCAAGTCTATCAAAGACGGAAGGCCTTTTATTGGGAGCAGTCATGTCATCTTCAAAAGTTATATGATTATTACTGGCCCTTCTTATGGAAATGCGAATTGGCGACGGTTGGCTATAACCTAGGCCTTCACGCGCTTTCCTAGTTGTATCTTCGGATGGTAGTTTCCCTAGTGCTGATAGCTCATTAGGGTTGTATCCTGCCTTCACAAATAACTTGTAGGCATTGGGATCAAAACCTTCTTTTGTGCGTTTTGTAGGGAGAGCCATATCTAGCACTTGATCTTGAGCGACTGACTTTTCTGGTAATTTTTCAGACAAGTTTATTGCATCAATCCGTTTGATAGGAAATGTTAGCCCTCTTAATGCATTTTTTTCAAGGTTAGATGGTTGATCTTGTTTTTTCTTCTCCTTTGGAACATAGCAAAGCCTAGAAGTCTTCTTCTTCTTTGAAGACAAGATATTCCCTTCATTAAGAATGGGACAGGAGTCTTTAGTGTCAATTTTAACCTTTTCGATAGCTACATCAATTCTTTTGTTTACGATATTATCAATCTTGATTGATTTGACATCATTGGATTTAACCCCTTTAACAACATAACTTCTCATATAGAATTTCGCATCCGCAAAGTGTGTCTCCACTTCGGTGAAAGGATTATCATCTGCAACTATCTTTCTTTCAATTCCACCTTCAAGATATTTCAAACATTGATAGTAAGAAGATGAGACAATTTTGTTCTCATGTACCCAAGGCCTGCCAAGTAATATGTTGTATGATGTCTTTGCGTCAATCACATTCATCCATGCGCTTGATCGCAAATCTCCCATGTGGATCTCTAATTTAATAGAGCCTATGGACCTCTGTCCACCTTGATTAAATCCTTGTATCAACAGACCACTATCACTAAATTCCCCAGTCGTGATGCCAAGTTCCTTCAATGTGTGGATAGGCAAAATGTTGACTCCAGATCCTTCATCTATTAAGATTCTATTTATCTTTTTCTCTAGCACATGACCCACCATATACAAAGGACGATTGTGTAGTGCTTCACCAAATAGAAGATCGTTTTCTGTAAATGTGATTTTAGAATCACAAACATGTGCTTCTTGGGAAGAAAGTTCAATAGATTTTTCAGAAGATGAAAGAGACATCATTTCTGAGATTTCCCTTGTTTCTATTTCTTCTTCCCCAGGAGACACTTTTGGTGAGGATTCACTCGTTGTTCCTTCTTTTACAGCAGGAGGCACCTTCATTGATTGTGCTTTATCCACATTGAAACATGATGCCTTGACATTTCCTTGATTAGACTTTGTGTCGAATGAGCTTGGCAAGAATTCCTCTAGAGTCACAAGACGTCGAGGTCTTTTGTAGTGATGCACTTCAACCTTTGCCCTTTTGGGGCGTTTGATTGATTTTTGCTTCTTTGATTTCTTCACCATTTTTTCTCTAATCGGTTGTTCGGATAATTCTTTTCGTAAGCTTGACTTGTTGCGTCTTCGCCTAGTTACAAGAATCCAACCCTCATCATCATCTATGTCAACGTTCTAGTCTACAGGCTCTTCTTCATGCTTTTCAGAGATATATATTTGGATCGGATCTAGTGACCCAAACGTGATAGAGGTATGGTTAGAACTAGCCTTCTAATCATCAAGGATAATTTTATTTTCGTTAGCCAATCGCATCACTCTATCCTTAAAGAAATAACATTTTTCAAGAGGATGACTCACAAGTCTATGATACTTGCAATAATTTGGGTCATCAATTTTTCCAGGTTCATTGGGTCGCTTTATCTCTGGCAAGTCAATGAGCTTTAACTCAAGCAATTCATCAAAAATTTCAGAAACGTCAGAATCCAAGAAGGGATACTTTTTTCCTTGCATCTCCCTTAGCATCAACTTTTGATTTGAACGTGCTTGGAAAGTCGTTCTCACATTTTGTTTTACACCTTCATTCATGGTGAACTTTGCGGGTGACATATTTACACTCATGGATTCTTTGTTGTCATTTTTGGGTAGAAACTTGCTCCATCTCTTGGGTTCCTGTTTGTCCCTTCCTTTGTGATGGTCATGGACAATAGTCATATCTTTTCCGGCAAATGTCATGCTCAACTCCATATCATGAGCGCGAGTAGCTAAATCCTTGAAAGATTTTGGTTTTATTCCTTGCAAGATGTAAAGAAGCTCCTAGTGCATTCCTTGAATACACATTTCGATTGCAGAAGCTTCACTAAGCCTGTCCTTGCAATTTAGGCTCGCATTCCTCCATCGATTTATGAAATCTATGACTGGTTCATCCTTCCTTTGGCTAGTATTCGTGAGTTCTACCATGCTCACCGTGCGCCTTGTGCTATAGAAGTGATTAAGAAACTCATGTTCTAGTTGCCCCCAACTATCAATAGAGTTAGGTTCGAGATCCGTGTACCAATCAAAGGCATTTCCTTATAGAGAGCGAACAAACTGTTTGACTAGATAGTCTCCATATGTTCCAGCATTGTTACATGTCTCCACAAAGTGCGCGACATGTTGTTTTGGATTTCCTTTTCCCTCAAATTGTTGAAATTTGGGAGGTTGATAACCAACAGGCATTTTAAAATTATCAATCCTAGCAGTATATGGCTTAGCATACATATGAGAAGACTTGGTGGAGACTTCATACTTATCTTTGATAGTGCCTTCAATAAACTCCTTCAAGCGATCGAGTGGGATCATTCCTTCAGAAGAAACTTGCATCTCTTTACCAAACGGGGCTTTCTTAGAAGGATCTTCGATTTCTTGAACTTCAATTCCCTTTCCAGGTGCATGGCTTGCATCTCCATCTAAAAGTCCTTCTATCATTTCCATCAACTTGTCAATTCGAGATTTTTGGTGGTGTACGTGCTTCGTCAATCCTTCAACCAACTTTGTCAGATTTGCAAGTTGTTCCTCAGGAGAGGAAGCAGCAGTCACCATCGTTTGCATGATCATCGGAGATGCAGGAGAGTAAAATGGATTGTCGCGTAAGTTAATTTTCAGTGGACTCGATATACGTGGAGATGATTCATAAGTTGAATCACAGTTCTCCCTTGTGGTAGAGTTCTTGGGACCAGATTGCTCAAGTAGAGTCAATGTCTTCTTGATCTTTTCAGCAACACTACTTCCTCCTTCTAGAGAATTTGTGGAGGAACTTGCTCCTTTTGGAGTCGAAGTCCCAAAAACAGGGGTTGATGCAGATGACACTTGAAGCATTTGTTGCCCTAGTGTAGCAGTCTTGCTTCTCGTAACAGCCCCAAAACTTCCAAAGGTAACACCAAGGATGTCTTCAACTTCAGTAGAGAACTTAGAGCTAGTGACCTTAGAGGCGGTTGATCGGGAGTTGTTGTTCATGGAAGTCATCTTGATATTCTTTGACGTTTGAAAAGTTGAGATGAGAGGTAGAGATTGTCCCACTGGGCGTGCCAGAATTTGTAGACAATAAAATTCGCGTTGAGAAAACAATAATCAAGAACGGAAAATTATAGCAACAATTGTTTTATTATTTCAAATGCGAGTGTTACAATCTGTATAATTCCTCTGAATTCGCCTTTTCAAATATAAATTCAAGGGCTCTAAAGCTTGTTCTTGAATCTATTATGAACTCGAACTTCAACTTTATCTTGATCTTGACTTTTATTTGAACTCAAGGGCTTCGAGCTTGTTCTTTAATTCGGTGGTCATGATCTTGATCGTTCTTAAACTTGAATGCTTGAATTCTTAAACTTGTAGCTTTGTAGAGAATTAAATGGCGTTTGTACAACAGAGCTTCTCTAGCTTCTTGTTTAGAATTTTCTCCCTCTTTTCTTAATTATGAGGACCCCTATTTATAGTTTGAGAGAATAAAGATGAATAAAGAACACAAGAACTATAGAAAGAAAAAGATGAGAGATCTATAGAGAACGAGAGAAACCAATATTTTGTAGTAACACCTAGTGACTAAAATTCCACGGCGGTGGAGTATATATATTAATAAATCAGAGTATTTTTGGTTACAGAGAATAGATGGAGAATAAATAGTAAAACCTAAAATTTAGATCGGGGGGATGCACCGAACCCCTCGTTCAAATTGGGGGCTCCCGCCCCCATAACGCCTAGAAACCTCACCGAGTAAACAGTTATATATATTAATCATGCTCCACAACCTTACAAATACAAGATAAGTCTCTATGAGACATTATTGTGGACAGTAATGTTATACATTATTATAGCTTATGAACCTTGTATGATAAGTTGTTAATGTAGTAGCATATGAAAGGAAGTACTTAAAATTTACGTAAACCGTCATAACTCGCATTAGTAGTTTGTTATATTGTGGTATGTATGATGGACATTATAGAAAAGATTTAATGTATGCACAATTAATATTTTTAAAATATTATTGTGATATGGTTATTGGTACAAGTTGGAGAATGTAAGAATTATTATTATTTATTACTAATTATTTCTTACTTATGACCCAAGTTTACTTGTAACCCAAGTAATACTGTAAATAGTATTTAATAAGGAATAGATCTCGTCCATACATTGGTTACTTGATGGATGTACCAAATTAAATCATAACCTCTATAAATTTATTCTCCCTCCAGCCATTAGGCTTACCACATATTCTCTACATTAATTCCTCCGTTGACGGTTGTTATAACATAAAATTAGGGAAAGGAGATAAAATCAAATTTACAACTAACACTTTCACTTTTCTTTGTGATGATGTCTTCCTCATCAGGTATGGCCCCTAAATATCTCTATATATAAGATTATCGTGTCCAAAATCCATATATTATGTATTAAAGTATTTAATTTTACAAATTGAAAAAGACATATGTTTATCAATTTTTTGTTTAACATTTAAAAAATACTACTTTCAATAGGCAGCAACTTCTTGTTATGCATACGACTATAAGAGGACCAATTTCTGAAAGTCATGACATAATTTTTAATATGCGAAGCATTTGACAACATAACAGGCCTTTCATATGTTCACATTTAAACTATTAGATGTTCCTATCAGAAAACATGGAAAGTGAATGAATATTTTAGATTTTAACAATTTCTTTATATAGTTCACTTTTTAAAATATAAGTAAGTTTTATAACACATTCCCAAAGACTAGTTCATAATAATTATAAAAGATCATTAGGATTATAAAAATAATTTTGAACTTAACTAGAATTTGAACTTTATTTGTACTTAATTAATTAGTATTTATTAATTAATTAATTTTAACTTTGTAGATCTTGAAATGTAGTATTTATATTTACAATATAAATTAGTTTAATGTAGTAAAATTGCTATGGAATTTATTTTATAATTTAATATCTATATTTTTGAAGATCAATCATAGTTTGTGGATGTATAATATGCATTATGAAATTGGTGGTGGTTTGAAACCTGAGTTTATTAACACTGTTAGAGATTTTATTGAACTTACAATGGTACTCGATATTTTTAAGAAAAATGGATTAGTTAGGTTCCTTGTATTGCATGTGGGTGCTTAAATTTTTTTGAACTAGACACAATCATGGTTAATTTGTACCGTAATGGATTTAAGCCTAGATATTTTGTGTAGAGTTCTTATTGAGAAAGAGATGGATTAAATGTTATGTTTTATAATTCGATGCATATGGATGAATATAATATGCTTGCAACACATGGTCAAATTAAGGTTGAATATTATAGGGTTAATGAAATGATCAATGATAATTTCATGGTTCAATGTAGGATGGAATCCGAACAATATTTTGATGAAACTCCTAATAAAGAAACAAGTCGCTTTTATGATTAATTAGAAGAGTCTAGTCGTCCACTATGTAAGAGTGTCTGTATTCTTCCTTGTTAGTTGCGGTCAGAGTAATGAATATTAAATTAGACTAAAACTTTCATAATGCGACCATGGGGTGAATCATTAATCTTTTGGATGAACTAGTTAATTCATAGTTTAACATATCTAAAAACTTCTATCGGACAAAGCATTTGATGACAAAATAAGGATTGAAATATGACAAAATTCATTTTTGTTTTAATAGTGATTTAGAAAATTGTAAATTTTATGGACATGCTCGTTTTAAAGGACTCTGGCCGTAAAAATGGTCACGTTAAGGTGATGCATTATCTACATCTTGTTCCTAGGTTAAAAAGGTTTTATACATCGATGTGGTCTTCCCACATATGAGATGACGTCGTGAATATAGAAGGTCATCGGTGTCTTGTCTCATCCATCTGATGGTGAAAACAAAGCATTTTGATCATGCATATCTTTATTTTTGTATTGAACCAAGAAATATCAGATTGGGGTTATTTGGAGATGGCTTCACACTATTCCCTAATGCTGCTTCACCTTATTCTAGTTAACCGGTATTTCTTACTTTTTATAATCTTCATTCCCTAAATCTTTCTAAATTGTGTTGTTCTAGGTTCCTATAATAAAAAAA